TTTTATTGAAAAATAGAAATTAAAAGCCCCCCCCCCCCCAGAAATGGTGATTTTCGGTCAAAATATCGGTTTTAAGATAAACACATGTGAAGATAGCCTGCAGTGTCTCCTTTCAGAATCTGTATCGCTTTTGGTTACAAAAGTGGTCTTTCCCGGATTTTGTGCAAGTTTTCTAGGAGCCTCGAAAAACCGAATCTTCAAATAATAGCTTTTTCCTGGATACTAATGCAATTAAAATTTTTCTAAACACACAGATTTGTAGAGCAAACATTTCTGATCAAAATAAGACCTCGCACAACTCTGTATGGCTCTGCATCAAAAAGTTACAGGCGTTTTCCTAGAAGTTCTAAAATTGAGTATTTCATATAGCGTTTTCTCTATATAAGAGTTGCACCTGAAGTATTTCCCAACATTTTTTATAGCGGTTTATCATAGAGAGTTTATTCTATTTTTGTTTCAAAGTCGTTAACCTAATAGAGAAATAACGACTGATTCCCACTCTAACTATTCTGGATCAGAATAGTAGCGGGACAAGGAAAAAGAGGGACTATGAAGGGAATACGGGTATATTCTAGGAATAGCAAAACAGAGGAATGGCGACCGGCTATTCGAGATTTATCTTGATATGCTCCCTTAAATGCTACATAAACTCATTTGCTAAACCCTATTTGCGTCGACAACAGCTTTTCGAAAAACAAACCTTTGTCTTTTGCGATATTAGGTGTTGAAGTCATAAGTAATTTACGCGATGGGCTTTCTAAGGAGCCCATCAACACCATTTCGGATAAGTCATCCGATTTTTCTGTCTATGCATTCTGACAAGAAAGTGTTAAATAAATTAAATAAAAAGAGCTAAAAGTCAACAATTGAACAATCAATTTGCAGGACGACTCACACATATCGAAGAGAGAGTGACGATGCTCTTTTTGTCAAACAGTTTTCTTTCAGAATTGGTTACAAAGTTCAAGCTGCCGATGTAACGACGTTGCCTATTATGAAAAGGAGTCAACAATCTACTTTTTGTAACCTGCAAGGGCATAAAAATGATTTTTATACAAGTAATTGTAGCGTTTCTTATTATTAGTCTTCCTTTTTTCTGTCCGATTCAATAAAATTGATATTTTATATCTGTGCAATTTTGAAGAACTATATGGAATAACAGCAGTGCTCGATAAAGCTATAGATGGATATTCTTTTTCTCCATCTGTTCGTTCACTAGGATAAAATACGAAAAGAGAAAGTGGAAAGAAAAACATGTATTCCGAACGAAAAAAAAAAGAGAAAGCAGTAGAAGGCGTTAATTCCCACATAAAAGCAGTTTTTCCTCCATTTCTCGAAAACTAGACTTTGCACCTAAAAGCAGACGCCGGATTCGGAATCTACGTAAGAAACTGAATCAGAATACATATACCAGTTTCTTCCAAACCGGACGCAAGTATAATAGACTCGATACTGCTTAGTATAATAACAAATCAATAAATCTGTGATGGGTATATTTCCTTACTGTATTTTTCTACG